AGTCAGGAGGCCACAGGGGTGAGATTCCCACTCCCCCATCCACGGATGCACATATTTACAGCGTCTCTTCCTCCTTCCTTCCCTCCCTTCCTCCCTGTCCCACCACCCTCCAGCCACCCTTAGCACCATCCAAGGCCCCACGGGGCCACCTAGCATCTCCTGTGTCCCCAGCACCCACAGACCCTGCACCTGGGACTGTGTGTTTCCCCAGGGGGCTCTCCCAGGCTGAGACCCAGGTTGACGGAACTCACCCCATCACCCCCAGGGTGGGGGGAGGCCGGGGGTGGGGTTGAGAACTCTGTGGACTACAGTTGATTTGCAGCTCCTTAGAGGACCCAAAACTTCCTTAAAGGAAAAATGCAGACAGGCCCCAACTCCTGATTGGCTAAACGGCTGGACTCCAGAAGGTTGCAGTTACCATATATGCTCACGTAGAAGAGGCTGCTGCAAATAGTGTAGACTATTTCCCAAGCCCTGGCCCTGGTAAAAATGGCAACAAGAGCACACTTACTCCCTGTTTAAGTCCCATGTCCCTTTCTAGTCTCCACCATACACACGTGAGGATTGCCCTCGCAATCCCAGTGTTGCTGGCTGGAAACTAAAACTCAATTGTGTCATTGACAAGAGAACAACTTCTCTAATGATTTTCCTAAGGGCTCATCATCTCGGTGCGCGCACGCGCACACACACACACACACACACACACACACACACACACACGACTGTTTTTCCTGGGGCTTCTCATAGGCAGGTATATATGGTAGTTCACGTGAGGAATGTGCTATTCACTTCTCCTACCTTTTTAGATAGAGGAAGGGATTGGAATGACTTAGAGCTGATCAATTCTCCAGTGACTGGAGCCCTCCTCCCCCACCACCTCCCTGCCCCCAACCAGAAACCTTCTCCCGCCTCCTCTCAGCCAGCCACACATTCTTCCACCCCCATCCCTGGCCAGGAGGGCTGAACAGAGGAGCAAAGAAAAGGGGCAGGGGAGGAAGGAAGTTTGAGAGTGTCGAAATATGTGTTCCAGGTACATTCCAGAGGCAAACACACAGGAAAATAGGGTAAAAAAAAAAAAAGTTAGGTCACCACTGTTTTGTATTATCCATGGTTCTGCAACTCAGAAATGGAAGGCCTCAGATTCTGTCTTCATTGGCCCTTCATCTACACTTTTCAGTAGATATAACTAAGGCTCAGAGAGGGTTAGTGTCTTGATTATGGTCCCACAGCCAATTCCCAGCAAATCCAGGACTAGAACTCAGGCCAGAGATCAGGGATATTCCATTCCCTACACTTGATTTTGATCTGCATGTACAGTAAGTGCTTATTGGCTGCTTCTTCCCAGTCAACCCCATGGGTGACACCAGTGGCTTGGGTGGTGGGGTAGGAGCCCCTGATAGGCAGGCTGTCCATCACTGCAGGAAGAAGGAACTGCTCTGGTCTAGGTGCTGCCGGATCCACATTCAGGCCCCCCTGGGGACCCAGGGCGGCAGCACAGTGAGACTGGGTTGGTTGCACAAACCCAGAGTTACTGAGGGGAACTGAAATTTTGTCATTTTTTTTCTCCCTGCCACCCCCAACACAGTATGATAGGTGCACTGACGACCCCAGCCAGACATATGAGCAGACTCCTCATCCCTCGAGAGGGAAGTGCCAGCCCCTTCTTGGTGAGTCCTTGCCATCACAGGACCAGACGTCAGCGGCACTTCCTGACGTGCTCTGAGTGCATCTGCTTACGTGCGAGGATGTGTGTGCATGGACTTGGGAGCTGTTCCTGTGTGTGCGTGCATGTGTGTGTGTGCGTGTGTGCGTGTGTGTGTGTGTGTGTGCATTGCTCCACACACACCCGCTTCCTCTTCCACCACTTGCTGCCACGATCCTCTGAGAACCCAGCACAAGGTTTCCATTAGTGAAGCACATTTTTGTGCTATGGATGTTGAACCAGGAGGGGGAAGAAAGCAGACTATTGTCCATGATGGATGGGGTTTTAGAGGACTTCCCAGGGTGGTCCTTAAGGGGGCCGGCATGGAGGCATGCCGGGCATGCAGCCTCACAACATTCCCTTGTTTCAGTCTGACGTCTGTGGCGGGGGTCTGTCTGCTGTGCCATTGGGCTCTCTGCACCCCCCTTCATCCCCCTGCCTTCCCCTCGGCCTTGGCCCTCCCCTCCCCCCAGCATCCCGGACTTCCAGGTGACCTGAGTTCAGGAATGCATTTTTCTAAGTTCTCCTTTCAGGATAAAAAGCACATGTCCAACATGCCGTGCTCTCTGTTGTGGATATGGCTGCCCCTCAAAGGAAGAGATGGCTTGGGGACCAGAACTCACGAACGTCACTCATTATTCCCACATTTTAAACATACCATGTCCCTCTTCAGGATGCAGAGGGGTTTTGGCCAACTTCATAGGACAGATTTCCAGGATCATCACCCTTGCCTCTGCATCTGAACCCACTCAGTGGGAGACCAGAGGGGTGCTCAGCCTCTGTGCTGCTCAGCCCCACCGCACGTCAGCATGTGCTGGAGACAGAATCAGTACAAATACCTCGGGGTCTACGGAAACTCCGTTTATAAATCACTTTCCCTCAGCTCAGTTAACCCCTTTGTTTTAAAGATAAAGGAAATGAGCCCGTAGGAGCTTAGATGACTGGTCATGCAACCAGTAAGTGACAGAATAGAAAACAAATCCAGTCCCCGGACTTGAGGTTCCATGATGTTTCCATCTTGCCACCTTGTTGGGGGCACCTAGAGCCACCATCTAAGAGGACCACTGCCTGCAGGGTGCTTTCTAACTAGCAGGGGCCTGGGAGCCACGGAGGAAATAATACAGAGCAATCCCAGGAAGTGGGTGCTAAGGACACAGGACAGAAATGCCTTGAGGATGGGTAGCCCCTGAAGACAGGGATGAATTGGGTCCCATTATCCCAATTCAACAGGAGAAAATGGAAGGGCCATAAAGAAATGGAGCAGTTCACCCAAGGTCAGATCTCAGAGAACAAAAGCAAGTTAATCAAATCCTTAATCCAGTTGAAGGGTTTTCAAAGAGCTTTTGGGAGCAGGTGGGATGGCAGACTAGAGACACAGACCTCCCAGGAGGAGCCTAAAAGATCAGTGCTCACATCTATGGCCTCCCCCCACCAACCCCTTCAATTCAACATAGAAGCAAAATGCCCCAAAGTAAGTCAGGGGAGGTACTGCAGCTCAAAAAGCTTGATGGGAAAAAAATAATGAGGGACCAGAATAGGCAAGCTTCAGAGTTCCTTCATCCTGTTCAGGGCTTGGAAATTTACATATTAAAGGCTCTGAGAAGTCCTGCAGGGAAAACCCAAAGAAAACAAACAAAATACCTAAAATAGTAAAACTGCCCTCAAAAAAATGGGGAAATTATTAGTTTAGTCCCATGTTATTTGTCCTAGGAATTCTCTTTTTCTCCATTCTAAGGAATGCCTATTAACAATACCAGAAACTTATCATTCTGGGGAATTTATTTTGGGAAATAACATTCAGAGTCCTCCAACAATGTATCAAGGGGTTCAGGTGGGTAGTGAGCTGAGTGATAGTGAGAGAAGATGGGATGTCTACAGACGAGTGGCAGACAACTGCCTCGGTTAGAAGACAGAGGATGGACGGAGGGGCCTCTTGGGACTCCTGCTTGAGTTTCTGGTTCTGACCTGCAGATCCAGTGTCTCCTCTCTTCCCCTGTTCCTAGGATAAGTTCAAGTACTGCCCTCTCTGAGTGCTCTGCTAGCCCCTAAGATGGAAGCTTTGGTCCAGAATGGTTTCAGGGACCACCCTATATGACTCCTCCAGGAGTATTTTCCTCTCCTTCTGGAAGGAATCTCAGTACCCCCTGCCCTTCACTCCCCTGCCCCCACACAGGCCTACTGAGCACACACACGGGTTACCAGGCCCTACATCTCATCCAACCAGGTTATGCCTAGAGCCTGGTGCAGGGCTTGGCATAGAAAGCTGTGGGTAAGGGGCCGGGATGTTGCTCAGTTGTATAGCACTTGCTGAACATGTGCACCAGGGCCTGGGTTTCAACCCCAAAACTGCAGAAAACAGAAAAGGGTTGCATAAAAAAAAAAAATGTAAGCTGACCCAGAAGCGGAGCCACGTTGTTCTAACACTTTTTCCTCTTCGCCCAACTAAATGGTTGGCAAGGATATCTCTAGACTCTTCCAAGGGGCTGAGTTTGGGAGAAGGTGAGGTTCTACTCTAAGAGTCAAGAAGAGCACAGCTGGGCTGGCAGGGGGTGGGGTGTGACTCAGTGGAGAGTGCTTGCCTACCACCTGTGAGGCCCTGGGTTCCATCCCCAGCACTGGAAAGAAAAAAAGAAAAGAATGCCCAAGCACAGCTCAGTTTCTTCCTCCCCAACCCTTTTTCATCAGGCTCAAGATGAAATCCTTATCCCCAAGTCTCTCTGCTTCCCCAAGTTGATGGGAGAGGTCTGGTAGCCACACGCTCCCCGGGCCCCATCCTCCTGCCTCTTCCCTCATCTCCCCCCAGTGAGCCAGGGCCTCCCTCCTGTTTGCCCGTCTCCCTTAGTTCTTTCCCTATCCTCTCCCCTCTTCCCTTTCTCGCCTTTTCTTTCCATCTATTGAATGGTCAGCTTTGCTCCAGCCAAGCAACTGGCTCCTAGGAACCTCTGTCTGCTGGGCCTTTGGCCAATGCCTTCTTCCAGCTGCCCGATTCAGGGTGATCTAAATAAGCGTGTGTATAGGGCTACTGTCTTCAACGGACTCCCTTTACCAGTCCTCTGGGTTCAAAAGCACCCTCGGAGGAGATCTGTATTGGACTGGGGCAGCACATCTGGCCAGTTTGGGCATGTCTGATGACACCCTCAGCTGCTGTGGCCATGGGCCCCACTGACCCGAGATGCCGATGTGCAGGGAATGTCAGCACAGGGTCTTAGTCTGTTTTAGAAAAAGGGCATTCTGCTCTGTATCCCTATGTTTTAGTTAATTTTTTCGCTGCTGTGACTAAAACACCTGACCAGAACAATTTTAGAGAAAGAAAAGTTTATTTGGAGGCTCACAGTTTCAGAGATCTCAGTCCATAGAAAGTAGGTTCCATTCCTGAGTTTCGAGGTGAGGCTGAACATCATAGCGGAAGACTGTGGCAGAGGGAAGCAGCTCACATGATGATCAGAAAGCACCAAGAGGTTTCACTTGCCAGATACAAAATCTATACCCCAAAGGCACACCCCCAGTGACCCACCTCCTCCAGCCATACCCTACCCACCTTCAGTTACCACTCAGGTAATCCCATCGGGGGATTAATGCAATGATTGGGTTAAGGTTCTCATAACCCAATAATTTGTCCTCTAACCCTTCTTGCTTTGTCTCACATGTGAGCTTCTGCATTCAAACCATAGCACCCTGGATGGGTTCAGTTCCAGCAAAAGATCCAGACTGGGCCTGGAAAGCCCAGAGGTGGGCTGGAGATGAAGTAGGCAGAAGGAAGGGCGCCTGTGTCCTGCATCCACACCCAGGTTCTCCTCAGGGTTGGTCCAGGCAAAGAAAGAACACAGGGGCCTGCTGCTGGGTGGGAGTGGAGTCGAGAGAGGAGGAGGGGAGGCCAGGGGAAAGGTCATGACCTACTAAATACACAGGCAAAGGGGGCCCCACAGCCTGGATCCCCAGGTGAAAGAGAGGAAACGGGAATGTCTCCGGGTCCCGACACATGGTCGTAATGATCACAGACTCCTTAGGCTCAGGGGGACCTCAGAGTTCATCTCCTCCATCCTCCTGTTTCCGGGAGAGGCTATATCTAAACTAGTCAAGATGTGCAGGCAACTCTGTTCTTAAATTCTCTGGAGAAGGAAATAACTGAGCTCCTTTTCACTGACTATTAGACTCAGGATCATGGTGTCAACTTTGTCCACATCATTCAGAAGGCTCACAGTTTACAAAGCCCTCACCAGAGACTGCTTTGTGACCGGGCTGAATGTCTGGACTCCTGGGCCTTTGGTCCATTGTGCATTGTGATCCCAAGTTTCCTAGGGAAGAAAGTTCTTGCTGTTCAGCCCCAACCTTCCAGCTTCTGCACAGGGCCTGTGCTCATCCACAGGAAATATGCAAAGTGGTTCGAATGGTGTGTGAGCCTTGGTGAGCATCGCGTTAACTGTTAGGTGCTGCTGGGTAGATGGAAATCACTTATTCTTCAATTTCCTTCTCGAAAGTACTTATTGCTCTCGATGCTGTCCTAAAGGCAGAAAGGGGATGTGGGTAAATGCCTTACCGGAATGTCTTCCCTGATCTGTTCCCGACTCCACTCACACTCTGTCCCCAGCCAGGTTGTGGCTTCCATCCCCCATGTGTTCCCATCGGCACATCAGTTGACCTTTTGAAGGGGCTAAGAGTGGTGCAGAGGAACAGCTAGGGGCTCTGAATGGTGTAGCCATATAATTTATTATCCAATCCAGGATGCCTTACAGAGTGAAAGGGCTGCTATTAATTATGCGGGACAACAGGCATACACCAGGATTTTCCCAGGCAGAGCAAGACGCAGGTCACCCTAGCTCTGGATTTGAATCAAGTCTCTCCACCTTGTTTTTTGGCCAGTCCTGAGCAATTTAGGTTCAAGTTTCTCATTGGTGGAACTTACCAAGGTAAGATATCTGCCCCCAAAGGCAGAAAGTCTTGGTCTTTGAAGTACAGGAGTTATTCGGGGTGTTATAAATAAATAAAAAAGGGGGGAACTAAGTAGTAACTCAGTGGTAAAGCACCCCTGGGTTCAATCCCCAGTAACACAACAAAAAATAACAAGAAACCAACAAAAACAGAAAGCACAAGTTCCTAGCACAGTGCCTAGAAACTGACCCAAAGGGTAAGACATGATGTAGGAGTCTGCATTTTGGCAATCACCTCGGGGGATGCTGATAGATGGGTCAGAGGTCAGTCTTTTGGAAACACTGCCCTTGGGTCATGGCAAAGTCCATAACAACATGAGTAAAGCACCTGGCACAGAGAGGGCCACCATGCATGGCCATTGTCATCCTGTTGAACCGCCCACCACCACCTCGCCCTCTCCTCTCTGAGCTCCTTGAGGGCAAGGCTGTGTCTTAATTATCTTTGAAGGCACAGTGGCAGCTTGGTACACAGTGGTGCTCTAACAATGTTTGGGGCTTCAGGAATGCTTTGGAGACCCTTTGGAGACTCACAATTATGGAGTAAAGAGTGGATCTCACTTGGACTTTGTGGCAGTGTCAATCCTCAGGCAAAGCTGTGACATTTTCTACATGCAGAGTCCAACCCATTGTGCTGCAGAACCCTCATTTCTGCTGCTCACCTGCCCCAGGCCACCCTCAAGCCCATCTCAGAGGACTGGGGTGGGGCAGAGCACAGGTTTGCTGAGAAATCTGGCTGAGAGATCTGACCGTTACATGGGTTTCATCCTGAAATGACTTTGAATGAAAACTGAAAGTAAAACTCAAAACCACCCACTTCCCCCGCTCTCTTCACTAGCAAGCCCTGAGTTCAGCTCAGCAGAGCCGGGCTTGAGGCCTTCCCAGGCCTGCCGCACCCTTCCCAGCCCAAACCCTCAACCTCGCTGACCGTTGTGTTCAACCGGCACCCTCTGCACAGCCCCAAGGACTCTGCTTCTCTGGTCCCCTCCCACCCACACAGAAGTCAGAGCCAGGGGCAGTGGAGAGACACACCCTTCAAGCAGAGCCAATATCCCAGCTTTCTTATCAAACCTCACTCCTTTTTATATCTTGACTCCACTTATTAAATAAGAACCAATTCTAACATTTAACAAATCCGTCTAAGACATATATAATGGCCAAAACTTCTGAGTGTGTATTATGGACTCACAACTGACAGGGTACCATTCAAGTCAAAAGCACAAAAACTTAACTTTTAAAAATAAACATTGGTGGGGGTGGTGCTGGAGATGTAGCTCAGTGATAGAGCACTTGCCTGGCATATGTGAGGCACAGGGTTCAATTTCCAGAACCACAAAAGAAAAACAATTTTTAGTACAAAAGCAATATGCAGGGTTCCTCAACTTACAATGATGACGTCCTGTTGAACCATCAGAAGTAGAAAACAAGTTGAAAATGTGTTGAACACACCTAGTCTAGCAAATATCTGAGCTTAGCCGCATCTACCTTAAACAAGCTCAGAACACTTCTGTTAACCCACAGTTGGGCAAAACATCTAACCTAAAGTATGCTTTTATAATAAAGTATTCAATAGCTCATGAAATGACATGAATTGAATGTTGTTCTAAAAGTGAAAAACAGGGCTGGGGACGAGGCTCAGTGGTTGAGGGCTCATTTAGCATACACGAGGCCCTGGGTTCTATCCTGGACATGTCAAAAATAAGTAAATAAATACAAATAAATAAATGAAAAACAGAAAGATTATTCTATGTCCGGAGACCAGGAAAAGATCAAAATTCAAAGTAAGCTTTCTACTAAGTGTATATTGCTTTCCTACCATTGCAAGTTCAAAAAATCAAGTTGAACCCTCGTAAATAGACCTCCTATACCTGCTAATAGCAAAAAAACCAAACACTACAGAAATCAAACACATAATTCCTAGACTCCTACCCTCTAAACACCTCTTCCTTTCATAATTTCAGAAGCTATATTGTAGTGGGTTTGTACACAGGATTGCTATTGAATGCACACTGTCACCCCAGGCTCCCAGAAGCTAGAACAAGTTGACTTGCCTCTGATCACCAGGTAAAAAGTGGCAGAACCACTTGGTGGTGCAGCAAGAGGATACAAACAACATGCTACTAGGGGAAGAGAAAGCTAAGATAACATGCAGGAAAGAGGGGCATGTTGTCTTTTCTATCCTCACCGCCTAGGAGACAGGAACATGGCCTCAGCAAACGTGCCGACTACCCAGGGGCCCAGCCTCATGGTTGGAATCAAAGATTGAAAGCTGGAATGTAATTCACCAATCACGGTCACACTTCTTAATTTCATAGGCATGGACACAGATCTAGAATAGACCTGGAGTAGGCCTTAGCATCAAGAGCAGATTTCTTTAGTCAAGACTCTTGTCTTACTCATGTTTATCGAAGGTCGAAGCTCCATATTAGCATTGGAGATGTTTTGATGTGTCTGGGGCAGACTAAGTTCAGATGCAGTTGACAGCAGGGCAGGAGTGACAATGGTTTTTATGGAACATCTTCAATTCTTCTCCCCAACTACAGAAGTCAAGAAAGGCCTTCAAGGGCTGGGGCTGGGGCTCAGTGGCAGAGCACTTGTCTGGCACACGTGAGGCCCTGGGTTCGGTCCTCAGCACCACATAACAATAAAAAATAAAGATATTGTGTCCACCTACAACTAAATATTTGAAAGAAAAAAGAAAGAAAGGCCTTCAAGAGAGGTCTGTCAGTCTGCAATGGATGACCTATCGGTATGAATTATTGAGAGGCTGCCGTCTTGTCATCTGGAGACAGACTCCCAGCAGGGGCAGGCCTTTTATACTGGTCCATCTTCACATCTGAGAAGGGCTGGTGTCCTTGCCACACGTGCCCACACCTGCCCACATGCCTACTTATCCCACTGGTTCCTGCGCCTTCATTTCTCCATGTCTCAGCTCCCCAACCACTCACACTCTCCTTCAGCTCTTAGTCCCTCATCTGAAGGCTCAGAGGTCTTAAAATGTAGTAAAGACAGTTCCTTAAATACCTCTTTTCCCATGAAAACCTGCCCTTGTCCTATCCCAGCCACCGGCTCCCAAGGGTGTACCCTAGACATTTGAACCCAGGGTGCTTTACCACAGAGCTACATCCCCAGACCTTTTTATTTTTTCATTTTGAGACAAGGTCTTGCTAAGTTGCTTAGGCTGGCCCTGACCTTGTGATCCTCCTGTCTCAGCCTCCTGAGTCGCTGGGATTACTGGCTTGTGCCTGGCTAGACCTTGTTAATACCAAAACATCCACTCCCACCCTAATCTCAATTTCCTGCACCCTCTCTTAAATTCTTCTCTCTCCACTCCTCCTCTGGGACTTCAATTCCAATAACCCTCGGCTCCACCATCTCTTCCCACCTCTCCCTTCCTCACTCATTTTGTACTTCACCCCTCCACCCTCCTTATCCATTTTCAATTCCATGGCCAATCATTGTGATTACCTCCTTAGATACATCCCCAGTTCCTTGGTCCCTCTTACTTGATCGTAGCTAGACACAAGAAGCATAAGGCAGAGGTGTGGCAAGACCACCAGGAATGTGTGAGCATTCCTCACTGCCCCTCACAACCCTGAGACTCCCTGCAGCTGTAGGAGATAGGGGATTACAACTGGTGTGACTAGATCGTGGAAGCAAAACCTGCTCCTTCACAGCCAGAGAATTCGAGGACCTTGGTTTAGGTGAGGATTTATGAGGACGCTAAAACTCCCTGCAGAAACTCTATCAGCCCGGCCTAGGGGTTCTTCTGAACACAGTCCCTTCCACATGGGCCCTCCTGAAAACCCATCTCCAGATGGCTCATCCTCTCTCAGGACACAGCTGCAAGGTCACTTCCAAGTGCACATCATGTACTCACACTTTCCATGAGAAAGGATCCAACGGGGGTCACCGAGTCACCATCTCATAAGGAAGACCCCTCTCTATGGGACAGAGTCTTTGCCAAGGAGTCAGACCTCTGGCTCCGGCACCAATTCCAGGGCCGGTCTTCTGTGGCCTGGATGGCGGAACTCCTAGCACAGGAGCAACTGCAGGCTGTGGAAGGGGCTGCCTGTGACAACTAAATGGAGGTCCCCAGAGTATCACAGATCAAGCTGGCTCACATCCAGCTCAGAGAACCAACTCTGGGTTTCACCCTGCACCAGGCCAGGAAGCCTGAACATCTACCCTCTAGGGGAATTTTGCTGGCAGTCCCCAGGTTTTCAGAGACCAACTCGTGATGTCTTGGTCAGACCCAAAGAAGGTAGCAGTTCCACTTGCCTAGCCACGCTGTGGTTTCATTCATGGACAACTTCACCCTCGGTTCTAACTCCCAACTTTATGGTATAGAGACGGTGTGATGTTTCAATACAGCTGGATGTGGGTTCAAATCCTGGTTTTCTTTCCTACTAGCTACGAAATACTGGGCAGTTTTCTTAAGCTCTCTGAACCCCAGTTCTCTCAGCTAGACAATGGAGACCATGACATTTACCTCTCTGAATCTTACTGAGGTTGGAACCACTTGAACTTAACACCTGCTTGGCAAGTTATTACCAGCACACTTGTGTATCCCAGA